AAAAAAAAAAAAAAAAAAAAAAAGAAAAGAAAAGAAAAAGAAGCTAAACCAACTGTTCAACGGCATCTACATTTGCAGGCAAGGTAGCAGTGGCTCATTTCCTTTGGGTGGTGTGGTGTTGTGGTTGGATATGAACAAATCTACAACAAGAAGCAAGAATGGTGACTGTAAATCCAAGGAAAACATAAAAAATAATAATAAAACTCCATATCCACCAAGAGAAGGGGAAAATCATCGTCATCAGCGTGGGGATTCAACAACTAATACACGCATAGCTATGCTCCCCAGGTAAGCACAAACGGCAATGGCAAATCTCGTCGAAGAAGAAATCATATCAACTGCAAAAAAGGCAAGAAGAAATGGGGAAGAAAGGGGAGATGGGTGGGATAATGAGCAAGTATAATCGACAGCGATGGATGTCAATTATACAAGTCAGAGAGATTAAAATGACATCGTTTTCCAACATAATCAATAGAAAAGTTGTCAATTATGTTCTATTTATAACCGACAGCACTTGGTTGTCGATTAAGTATAATTGACAATCGAAATTCTATTGATTAAGACCATATAATAACAAAAGTTTGTCAATTATAGATTTTGTTCATTACGCCCAGAAAAAATACCATATCATTGACAACTTCATATAATCGATAGAAAAGTTGTCAATTATATTATCTTAATTGACAGAAATTTGATTGTCAATTATAAGTTTGTCGAATATACTCCATTTTCTAGTAGTGAGTGTATACAACCATCAAACTAAATAAGAAAAGTGGTAATGGTGCAAAACGGTTATACTTTAAAGATATATAGATACAAATGAACTCTTGCATGCTTATTATTAATTATTTGTATACTTGATGTATGTATAGATGTGGAGTGAAACTTGGGAGCAACAAGAAGTAGGACAAAGACTATGTTATTACTGTTTAAGTTACTTTCTATTTGCAATTTAATTAGTCCTTAGACATTTGAATTTATGTTGTCATGTGTTGCATATTGCTTTAATAGTAGAAGCTACTATTACAAATTTCAATTCTAAGTAAATAAATTTTTGCCTATGGACACTATGTCTATTACATGGAAATGGAATACCTTCCTGCAACAAATTAAGATTTAGCTTGAATTAAATGAGAACATTTATGCACTAGAAATTATAAAAAAGGAAAAAACAAACATAAAGAAAGAAGGCATTTTAACAAATAATACAATTGAATTCATTCATTACTTACTAATTTAAAAATTGTGCGCACTTTAATCCCCTAAAATAACCAATTCTTTGTTTTCTAAAGCCAACATTCCATCCTCTTAAAGTACTTTCGGCCCATTTCGTTATTGGGCCTTTTACTTTCCAAGATTTGTGCGTATTCCTAAACTACTCAGTTGCAGTTTCTGTAACTGTTATTTTTACACAACTAGTAGTTACTTTTCCAAATGGAATTTCTCTCTTAGGGTTCTTTACTCCTCCTCCCTAATTCATGTCTGCCATTGATTTCGTGGCTTCTCTATTATTTGGTCAGTACAGTTTTGCAGTTTTAGCATATCAAAGATAAGTTATGAAGCTACAAATACTTTAGGGCATGTGTTTGAGAGGTCAAGGGGAAAGGGAAAGTAAAAGAGATTGATGAAGGATAGAGAGTTTTATGGTGTTTTTTTAATGCCATTTATTTTTTACTAATTTTTCCTAAAATGTTACAGTTAATTTTTCTAATAGTTTCTTTTTATGATCATCTCTACTTTTTTGCATGATCCATTTAATTCCTTTTTTGAGGTTTTTCAGCTTTTCTTCTTGAATTAATGATTTATAAATGATCAAATAATCCATTAGCAAAGCATAGGATGCTAAGGTTATGGTTTTAATGGAAAACTTCATTTTGCGTTACTATTTCACTATTTTTTTTTTATCTTTTAATTAGCGTTATGTATTTTGTTTTTGTGACTAAAAATTAGAAGGCTTTTAATTTACCATAAATAAATTGAATTTTTACTAGACAAGAGAATTTAATTTTTCCATAAAAATACAAGGTGTAACCAAGAAGTTGGTCTCGAAATTAGTGTAGGTTTTTCAATTTAATCAAACCTAATTTCGTGTGGGTTGTTCATAATTAATGTATGATTATTAATATATAGTTTAAGGAAATTGCT